CCTGCTTTTTTTGAGTTTAACGTCGCAGTTTCAACGAGAGAGCGGGTTATTTTGAGGTTGCCATAATCGTGAAAAGCCGCTCTTTCAAATGACTACCAAAAGCACAAGGTCGGGCATGAAATTCTTAGGTCATTGGTTCAGCTCTGCCGTTAGCCGTTTGCCGTCAACGTGATGCTAAAACTCTCTCTTGAGGAGAAAACGCAGGCAGCGATTGGAGAAAACCCTCGGCTGGAGCAAGGAAGAGAGCTTTCAGTCAGACTCAAGTCACACAATTTTATAGTTGTGTAAAAAGATAAATTTAACAGCGTAAAAATACTATGTGAAATAACTTGCTCCGACGAAGGAGTAACGTCCGAAACGTCAGTAAGTTATTTCACATACTTTTTTACGGTGTTAAGTTTATCTTTTTACACAACTGTTTCTCTAGAAACACCGACGCAGCTCACACTAGTTTACCGCTAGTTCCCACCACATAATTTTATACAATGAATAAAACCAGGACTAACATCGTTAATTGACCAGCAGGGTCACTCTCTCCCTTCCAATAATATTTATATCGACAGCTCCATTTAGTAGAGTACAAACTTAACATTAAATGTGTGCAACACTTTCCACTATTTACTACGTGTTAATTTAAAAACAATAGAAAACAATAGAATTAGCATAATTTAGCAGTGTTTCGTGGTATTTATGTTGCACAGTTTTAGTGTTTGTACTCTAGTAATATGTTAATCAAAGTACAATTTAAGAAACTTCAACGGTCTTCTTCAACAGGCAACATTTGACTTGAACAAAAGACCAACAATGCTTGGATCATCAGAGCAATCACAGCTTTTTAGGGTTTTATTAAAACAAATGAAGGCAAAAAAGGTCATCGAAGTCGGTAGGTCATATGTAGGTTAAATCCACTTTTAATGTTATTTAAAGTTTATTTCAAATGAAGGACCGGTTAGGACAACGAAATGATGAAAGGGTCAGGGTAGGAGAGGGGGGGAGGGGGAGGGCGGAGGGGGGGAGGGGTGGAGAAGCGAAAAAAAAAGTCCCTCCCCCCCACACACACACAAATGAAAAAAATAAATGTAAAAAATATTTATTATTTCATTACCCTCCCTTCTACTATAACGGAAAAATTCGAATCCTGTTTATAAAGTTATGAGATCAACTCATAAYAGCTCGAAACCTTTTCTGAGAGAACGTCTGCAGAGAGATGCATTTGCAGACAAAGTATTTTTATCARACACATCATTGACTGAGGTTCCAGAGGTTTTTTCTCAGTATTCTTTTCTAGAAAAACAACGTTTTCTATCAATGTACGCTCAGTATGTTAATTGAATTGAACTATTATGTTACTATGGTGTTTTGTTTACACTTGTATCCTCACGTATGCATTAATTATTTTATTTTACCTCGATGATGGACAAGTTGTCCGAAAGCTCGGAAAATTGAAACCAACGTAGAAGAAACAAAACTGAGTATATATATAACTTTTTTAGTGTTTTTAGTAGTTCTCGTATCTTTGTATTTGCTTTTTAAATAACGACGTAACTATAAAAAAAAAAACATCTAGAAAAAAAAAAGAGAAAACCTTTGGAACCAGGGTGCCCCTGTTCTCAGCTCCGGCTGCATTGACAGCCAATACTTGAAAAGTTCCCTTAGTTTATTTTCATTAACATATTTAAATAAATCTTCTCGTAATCCTTTTTTTGCATACATTTTAAGGTGTTTACACTGGTTACAATACCCTGAGCTTTGCTTTGAGTATTCCAGACGATGGTAAGGTTATTGGTTGTGACATCACTGATGAGTATGTGAATGCTGTTGGAAAGCAATTCTTTAAAGAGGTATTGTCAATTATTATAACAAGTACGTAATAGGTCTATTGATTTATATAGGTGATCACTGAAAAAAATCGCGTGCTTTAAAGGTTGTAAATTTGATGTAAATATGATGTAAGTGTCCACAATTCTGTAAATTGATGTAAATGATTTCCATTAAATTTACAGAATTTTGGGCACTTAAATCATATTTACATCAAATTTACAACGCGATTTTTTCAATTTACATAAATAAGTTTATGTCCACTAGTCAAGAGATTTTCTATCCGCAAATATTTTTATTCAGATACAGCTAGTATGGCATACGTGTCAACTGTGTACAATTAGTGTTTTATTGCCATTTTCCGAGTGGATATTGCAATATATCCGCAATTGATAAAAGCGGT